TCCTCTCTCTCCCCACCAGTTCATCCACACCCTGGAAATCCAGCGCACCTTCTCTCCGAGAGACCGGGCCTACGTGGCATCCTTGCTGACTGTGTCGCTGCATGGGAAGCTGGAGTACTTCACGGACATCCTCAAAACGCTCCTGAATGACCTCGTGGAGCAGTATGTGGCCAAGAACCCCAAGCTGATGCTGCGGAGGTGAGCGAGCCAGCCGTGGTCCCACGGCCTTTCCGCCAGCTGGCGAGCTCTGGGCCTCCTGGGAGCGGGAGGAACCACGGGAACACCACGGCGTGGGCTGCAGCTGTAGGACCCGAGTGTGTCCAGAGTAGGGCGTCAGACGAGAGGAGGCAGTGACGATGCCTCTCTCCAGTCAGCGATGGGCAGGAAAGGTGTGAGAAGAGTAGGGAGCTGAAGGTTTCCACCTCAAATTCTCTGCCTTTGAAGCTGCTGTACATCAGCTCTCTCCGTGCGTTCAGGTGCTGGGGCTGGCCAAGGCCGCTAATCGCACACGCTGCTCAGAGGTCCCTGGGCTCGCAGCCGTGCCGCACTGGAGGCTAAGCTGGAATAGCTCCTGTGTTGGGATCCCCGTTGGCCTTCAGCCCGGTCCAGCCCTGTGATCTGACCCAATTTCCCTGGTTTGAGACCGGCAGCGGCATTCGCTGTCTCTGCTTGCGGGTGGCTCCGTCAGGCTGCAAAGAGCCTCAGATGCGTGGAATCAAAAGCACTAGCCTCACTGGTCTCTAAAGGCCTTTTTGGGTTTTTTCCCCTCTCCCTTACCCTGTATCATCGTTCAGCGTGCTTTTCTCTCAAGGGGCGTGACCTTTGTCTCCACGTCCCTCCCTGCTCCGCGCCGCAGTTCTGTGACCAGCCGCGCGCTCTCTTTCAGGACGGAAACAGTGGTGGAGAAGCTGTTGACCAACTGGATGTCCATCTGCCTGTACGCGTTCGTGAGGGTGAGCTCGTCGTCCCTCCGCGGCGTAGCGGGGCCAGGAGGGGGGAGGCAGCCACAGCTTTGCTTGGCACCTCGCTCGTAGCTGACGTAGTGCCGGAGCCGTCCCGTATTCCCGGTGGGGAATGAGGGTGCTGGGCTGGTCACCGGGGACAGGGATGCTTAAATCGGTGTCCGTACCGCTCGCTGTGTCCGTGGTGTCCTCCCAGGCGACGGAGGGCCCAGCGTAGCTGCTTCCTCTTGAGACACGCTGGCCGTAGGCTGGTCTTGCGTGGGGAGGGCAGATTCTGAGCGAGCTCCTTCCCCGGGGAGGGGCGGCAAGGCGAGCCTCAGCTTGGTGCCGCGGAGGCGGAGCGACGCCGTGGCCGTGTGTCACCCCCCTGCCCGGGTCTTCCCCTGCGGGCGCAGCAGGACTTGGCGCCAGGGGCTCTGTCTTCGGCCGCCGTGGCTTCGCTGCTCCTCTGCTTGCATGTCCGTGTTCCCCAGCTGAACTCTGGGGTGAACCTCCATCCGTTCTGCGCAGGACTCTGTTGGGGAGCCCCTTTACATGCTGTTTCGGGGAATCAAGCACCAGGTGGACAAAGGGCCGGTCGACTGGGTGACAGGGAAAGCCAAATACACCCTGAATGACAACCGCCTCCTGAGAGAGGACCTGGAGTACCGGACTCTGGTAAGCACCAAAGCTGTTCCCTCTGGGCTCTGTGCGACAGGATGGAACATCTCTGCTCCCCTTACGGAGGCAGAAGTGCAGCACCCTGCCACTGTCTCCTGGGAGCCAGGGTTATCCCAGCTCCATAGGTGAGCCAGAGCCTGCTAAACCGGGCACCTTTGCCCTGGGCTGAGGGGGGCATCACCGCAGCAACCTGGTCTGCGTGCTGTGCTGTGTCCAGAAACCGGGGATGGAATTGCTGCTGGCACATCAAAGCACCTCCCCAGCGCTGCTCGGCTGGCTTCCAGCTCTTGATGAGCCTGGGAACCCTGACTGAGGTGTTCTGAACCTCAGCCAGCAGAAGGACCGGCTGTGGACCTGCCTTCCTGCCAACCTTCCGAGGGGTAAACGTGCCGGGCGTACTCCTGCCCGCCCAGTAGCTGTGACCTTGTCTTCTCTTCCCCAGACCTTAAATGCTTTGACACAAGCTGGGGGTGCTGCAGGAGGGGCAGAGGACTCCCAAGGGATTTCGGCGAAAGTGCTGGACTGTGACACCATAACACAGGTGAAGGAGAAGATCCTAGATCAGATCTATAAAGGGACGCCGTACTGTCACCGGCCAGACCCCGACACCCTGGACCTGGGTGAGCGGAACCCCTTGGTGCCGAAACCGCGGCGG